TGTGTAGGTAGATCGGGTCAATCCGAACAGAAAAGTTATTTACCATTTTGCAAAATGTGCAATAGTTATTAAGATATGAATTAATAAATGTGAGCCAATGAGCGCGCGGGGGGCAATGATCGGACTCTATAGGCGTGCACGATTATCNGCTGTAAAGAAAAATGGCTTCTTTCATGCAATGTCATAGCAATGAGAGGCGGAGAAACAAACTAGCGCGGCGCGACTCAACTTCTTGCGATCGGGCGATATTAGGCGGTACGCCGCGAACAGCGGCGAGGGGTACCCCTAGAGTCCGATCATTGCCCCCCGCGCGCTCATTGGCTCACATTTATTAATTCATATTTTAATAACTATTGCACATTTTGCAAAATGGTAAATAACTTTTCTGTTCGGATTGACCCGATCTACCTACACACTTCGGCTGATTCGTTCGTTATGAGACACCCTGTATAAATGACTCTTCTCACAGAACGACCAAAAGTATGATGATGCAACTATCTCGTGATTCAAAAGATACGTTTAGAGATCAAAGATATCGTTCCGATCGACTGACAAAAAGTACTCGCATGAGAGAGTATTTGCGCGGGGTTCAATTACCCGGGGGGCTAAGGGTTCCGCGTTCGCGAGGAAAAGCGGAAGGAACCCTACGGAGTTGAGATTCTCACACACACACACATACACACACACGCAAAACGGTCCACGACGATTGCACCTCTCGCCGCATTCTCAGAGTTCGCTTGTAAAAATGAGCGCCTAGGCGAGATTCGAGATTACGTTTATTGCATTCATATGCCACGTGACGGAAACGCTAACGTTATACCGTGTAAATTCAAAGTTCAGCGAACGCTTCCACATTCGCGCGATGTAGATACCACATCCATTGAAACGTCCCCCGAATGTGCGCCGTGTAATTATCGCCCGCCACACGCTAACGTAATTATCAGTTGGTTGCCGTGGCGAAGGAACGAGCCAATCTCAAGAACGCCCGGTGCGCGCGCGCGCGGGGTTTGTCTCGCGGAGATCTAATGAAACGGTGAAAATAATAATGGCGCGGGGGGAGGAGGGGGGAGGGACACGCTTTAACGGACGATTCAATTTTCTGAGCGCGTCCGACTTCCGGCACCATAAAGCATCGGCGCGCGGGACGTCCGATTTTAACGCGCGCGCGCGCGCGTTCATTATTACGCCGAGGCCTCCATTATCCGCTCGCTAGCAAGTTACCGAGCAACTAATTCCAAGCCGATTTATAACCAACCGGCCGTGTATAGCGCGAGAGCCCGCGCGCGTATTCCGCGCGAAATGATTGATTTTCGCGATGGATTTTCAAACGCAATATCGCAGACACTTATGCGCGACTGCGGTAAATGGTGTGTTTATACGAGACCAAAGTCGTTCTCGCTTAAACGTCGTCTCGAGCGTGCGGAGAGAGGTAGGAGGTATTCGAGGAAAACATTAAAATCACGATTTAGGAGAACCGAGCGTAATAATTGACGATTTTGCTCGCGGCGAAGTGTTTTACCGCGGGTCAACGCGCGTCAAACGGCCGATTATTATCTTCGCGGGTCAGCGAGCACGAGAACGCGAAAAATCCCGACTATAGTCTTGTGAGCGAAAATCACCTTGGGGGAGAGGGTGAGGGGTGCGATTGGCGTTTACGTGGCGCAACGTAAACGCGACATATTTAACAATCGCGACAGATCGGCGACGCTATCTGCGCGCCCAACCGTCCACTTTGGTTTCGCGCAACGAAATGCGAGTATCAGATCAGTTATCGATATACCGTTAATATCGAGCGCGCGATCGCAAAAGATCCCTCGAGGGAAACGATTCTATTTCGCGCTCGATTTGTACACGCACGTAAATTAATGCCGATTCAGTAGTCCTCGGTAACGAGCGCGATAAATCAACGACCGGTTTCTCTCCGGTATTGGCGGTGACTATATCGCGGCGAATTCGATGAAGCTGACGCGGAATTGAAGCTTCTTCCCGGCGATATATCTTCGTGGAACGGTGCTTTTAATTCCGGCCGTGACTCACGCGAGCTCCCTAAGGATGCGCGATTATTCGCGAGCGCCTGGAGCCGGAAGATCTTTCGTTCTCTCTCTCCCTCTCTCTTTGCGACTAAAATTAACTTGCCTTCGATGCTTTGTCCTGATCCGGATGAGATAAGAGACGGTGAATCGACGCGGATCGACCGTTCATCCGGCGATCGTATTTGCTCGTATTGTCGTGTGTGTGTGTGTGTGTGTACTGAGAAAATAGCGCGCTTATAGAAATAAATCGACAGGCATATTCGCGTTTCAGCTGACACCCGGCATTACACTCTGACGAGGCAAATTTTTTTTATTTAAATTTAATTTGACGCAATTGTGTTTAAATAAAACAGCTCAGATTTTTAATTTTCAAGTTCATTAACTGAAAACTATATATACTTTTGCAACATATGTTGTCGAAATTCTTTTACTTTGAGAAAATATACGCAATTAAAAAAGCAGCTTTCTCTCTTCCGCGCAGCTCTCTCTTTTATAATGTAAAACCCATTTCTTTAGAAAGATATCAAAAGCATCAGAAATCGGCCTTCTTTTCAACGTCATTATTGCACGCATCGCGCTTACCGGACGGACGTGATGGTATCTTTTCCTCGGTTCCGGAGCATTATTATTTTTTCACACATACACACATCGCGTTGCTCTATTTAATTTTCTTCTCTTGCGGCGGCACTTCTGAATGATTCAAAAGTGCGAACGATGCAATAAATGCAACGTCATGCGTAGTTCTGCGGAAAACAAAAGTATACGATGACATTGCGAAATGTTGTCGACAGTTGGAACAAGTGTGTGTTTGTGTGTTACTTTCGGTCTTTCAGGACACTCAGCAAGAGAGTGAAATATAAATTCCACTCTTGCGCAATCGAATTTGGTGTTAAGACGTCTCGATGTGGTTAAATTTAAATGTGATCTCGGGTTTTTGTGCAACACGCACACACTCGGCAAAAAGTAAAAGATCGCGTGTTTTCGTGGATCTTACGATATCGAGAGTTCGTAGAAATCCAAATGCACAAGTGCTCGGGTTTTCTTCTGCTTCATTGCTATTCAATCAGAACGAGAGAGTTGCTCTCTTGAGTTCTATCTAATATCGGACGCTAATTTTACAACGCTCGCGCGTGTTTTGCATATTCTCTCTCTATCTCTCTCTCTATCTCGGGGCGTAAGTTTTGTCTCGCAAATATTACGCGTCAACGATCGGAACCTGTTGTAGAATTTAATATCGCGGTAGATTTCCCGGTTACGAGCAGACGCTATCTCTAGAATAGCGCGCCACGGTCGTTCGGACATGCAAATGGAGCGCTCGTAGAGAGAGCCTCGCGCAAAATTAATTGCGCGTGATGCGGATATGCCGCACATCGAGAGCTCATCCCGCGGACTCATCGCCTCGAACGTGAGACTGTGTGTTGTGTGAAACGCGCACGTGTGCTGTGTATCGGTTTAACCTTCACCCCACGTGAAGAGGAAAATTAATAGCGATTATTTATTGGGTTGTTCGAAAAGTACGCAGCGATTTTTTTTTTTTTTTTTTTTATAAAATTTGACTTTGGTTTTGTTGTATCGACTCAAACATAATTTAGCTTCTGCAAACGCTCACATGTTCGATATTTAATATCCGCGCGCGATGTTTTGTGTTTTTCTCGGACGTTTATGTTGCCTACGGCAAACATGTCAACTATCGGAAAAACGCTACGACCTTTTCAACAACAACAAACAATTTGTAACAAAAGACAACATATTGTTTTCGGAGAATATTTGTTTAATATTCGCAATTATATGGAAACGTTAATGCAAATATTATCTGCGTCTGTTAAAATTTGCTTCGGCAAACCTCACTGGTGGTCTGGCGTCGTGCACAGGAAGCGGAACGCGGGAAATAATACGTTGCAACCGGTTCCCTTCGTTTCTGTCAGTTATCCTGCCTTTTATCGTTACGGCGGCGTTATTTGATTACGCGACTACAACGGAGCCTGGCAAGGCAAAGTCTCTGTCGAGCTGTTACGCGACACGACTGCTATCGTTATCGCCATCGTTCTGTTACGACAAGAACGAGAAGCTCGGTCTTCTCTCTCTTTCTCTCTCTCTCTCTCTCTCTCTCTCTCTCTCTCTTCGTTGTGTTCTACAAGATCTTACAAGTTTTAAAATAGTCCTGTGTCTCGTGTTATTTAATTGCCCTTATGATAAAAAAACCCACTTTTATCCTCCGAAGAAAAATCGAAACATACACGCCCGATCGCCAATCGTTTTGGTTCTCTCGTGATGGCGTCTCGTTAATAGGGAGATGAAAGAAACGAGAGAGAAAGAGAGAGACGGAAAGAGAGAATATTACGCGCGTATCCCGAAAAGGCAGAGGGGGGAAAGATCGAAGACGTCGCCGTTCGTAACAAACGCAGGAGAGGTGCAGGTTGCAGGTGAAAGTCCGCTTAACCGCCAACACGAAAGGCACCGGCGCGGCTAATTAGATACTTTTATTCAGCCGTTATCAACGTAGTTATCGAATGATAAATTAACCATTCGGAAAAGTGCGCACCTGAATGATAGCGCCGATATTGCGGTATATGTCGAAACGGCAAAAACTTTCCGAGTTTCTAGCGCAAATACAGATAGAGACTCGAAATGTCATTGCGTGTAAATTTCTTTACGCTGCTTGCCAGCGCAAACTTTTTTTTGCCCGCCGCGACTGTATAAAATCCAAATATTACCGAACGCGCGTTGTGAACCTGATTCGTTTGCAAAAAATCGCGGTTTTTCCTATGTGTTTACTTTCACCGCTTACTTGCAATTCGTGCGGACGTACTGCGGACCAACATTTGTAATAACTGAGCAACTGATTAATTTTTATGTAAATTTTATTTTTTATTTTTATTTAAACTTGAAAAAATTTATATTGAAGATTTCGTACAAAGTATTTTGTAAAACTTGATAAAATTTGGTTTTTAAATTTTTATAATTTATTATATACATATTAATGTGTACATATATGCAATAATTTACAAAAATATACGTATGCAATTTAATGCGCTCGATCGATTCCGAGGGAGAGAACACGAACGCCACATGGTGCAATCGCTAATCTACTTGACGCGTTATATAGTTCGTTAATTAACGCGAATTATAATTACGCGGTATAGACACGCACGCTCGTAAATCCCGACTGGAGAATCTCAGCAAATGTCAGCGGTCGGCTTTCATCATCGACGCGCGCGTTATATGCATATTGTGTCGTTCGCGGAAACAAGTCCAAGCGAGCGAGATAAGCCTCGCTTCCACCGAGACCGACGTTGATGTATCGTCAAGTCGTCGGGAAGCGCACGCGGTTAGTGGCTAATTAGAGAGCCGCGTTAATGCTAACTATGTGCGTTCGCACCTTGTTCCAACGCCCTGATCGCCCGCGGCAATTTTCATCAGTGAACGTCGCCGCGCTCTATCGAAACGCGATTATCGAACCGCCCCCGAACTCCTTCCTGACGACGTCTGGAAAATTATCGCGCCAAATTTACACCAAATTTAAGCAAGACCTCGAGGAAGTCTGGGATTTTGAATTGATTGATGAAGCAGGAAGCTACCGAAGCGCGCGCCAATGAAATTAATGTCCAAACATAAACAAACAATTGTAGCGAAGAAGAAACGAACGAACTTTCATTGCGAAAATTAACGTCCGCGCGATCACTTGTCTAGCTATCCCGTGTTTTCTCGACGAGAAGAGAAAAACCTTCGAAGAACCACATTGAAAAGCGATAATTAAGTGTTGTTTCTCGACGGAAGAGAAAGGAGATGTTTATTCTCCCGAGTAAAAGCTATTTATTTCGATACTTCACTCTCCGCGACTATTGCAAAGAAAGATTTCCTGGTCTATTCGCGCGCGCGCGCGCGCGCAAAAAAAAAAAGCGATTTCATCAAATCGCTACCTCTCCGACGCGCAACTTCTATTTTCTTAGTTAACGAAGTTAGCGCTTTCATTGATTGCGAGTGGAATTATCGTGACAGTTTCGCCGATATTTTTTTTGTCTCCGTCATTGCGTAATTTTCTCTTCTTCCGCGTTCGAGGACCGGGCGAGAGAGGCAAAAACCGATTATTGTACGACGATCGCCTGGCTCTCTGATCGTCTGATCTATCCACGTATTATTTCGTCGTTCGAAGGAGGAAAACCGTGACGCGCAGAACTTTCGAACGAATGGAATTGGCGTCGGTGCGCGAGTCGCAACCAAACCTCAGTACTGCGAGCCTTTGTCTTCCGGTAGCAAGAAGTGGATCGTCACATCACCCCGAGGCGTCCTCACGATCTCGCGGTGTCGGATAAGCTGCGTCGCCGCCAGTCCGTACATCAGGGTGGGAATACCTGGTGAAGTGGAAGGTAAAATGGTGAGCGCGTTCGTCGTATGGAGACTCGCGTTGCCGAACCCGTTCGCCATGGCTTAGATAGCAGAAGACCAATTGGAAATGAATTAAACGAGACGCTCACCACGGCGGGATTAACATTGTCGTCTTACCTTCCTTCTCGAACGTTGGAAATTAAATCAAATAAGATCGATATACGCGCGCGAGTCTGTCGACGTCTTGTTCCGATCGGTACGTTCAGATACGAACTGAATTAAATCGACAGCGAGGACGAGTGTGTGCGCACGTCTTGGAAAACTTTTCCGATCCCTAATGACGGGAGAAACTTTTAACAAATTGGTTCAACAGATGTTTATATGGAATTTCGTGAAATTTAAGTCTCTTTGTGTAACTTCTCTCTCTCTCTCTCTTTCTCTCTCAGGAAATGGAGAAACTCCGGTACAGAACTTGAGAACCTTGTCTCGGTTTTCAAATATTTCGCAACAGACGCGAGACAGACGAAACAATCTCGTCGCTTTGTGTCTGTCTCAGTTGAGAAACTTCGAAAACTAAAAAATCGGCTAGAAATTTAAATTAACGAGGATCACGATATTTCTCTTAATTTCGAGATTTACGAGCCTGATTTACGGGCTTTTATCGCATACAAATAAACAAGGCCGCGTTTTCGAACACACAGACGCTGTTCCTTCGTGTCGGCGAGGTTCCGGCTTACCGAGGTTCAATATCTTGATCGCCTTGAAAAATCTGTCCTCGCCGCTTAGGTCCCGTACCGGTCGCTTGCTGCAGTGGTACTTGATATACGGGAAGCAACCGGTCCTAAGTACGTGGTAATTGCTACCGCCCGCCGACCAATTGAAGTGCGACATTCCCCGCTGATCGTTCACCACGTCGGCGTAACGCACGAAGTACGACGTCCACGGTGGTTCGTTGGTTTGCAGAAGGTAGCTCGTTAGGACCTGTGCGACACACACGCGCAATCATCATCGAGCCACTTTGTGCAGGTCGGGTCGTCAAGGAAGTATCATCCACCGCGGGACAGGCTCTCGCTTGCGGAGATCATCGCGAGACACGTGACAAAAGTCACATCGTCACCGTTACATCTCACCGTTACGACGTTACGTCGTTCTCTCCTTGACGATCGTTAACAACCTGCCGTCGAGCAACCGACCGGCTGTTCTTCCTCCTCTCTCTCGTTCCGCGCGCTCGTGCGCGCGTGTGTATAAAAGAAAATTAATCCGTCGCGGGGGATTAGAGAGAAGAGGAAGCACATCGAGAAACCCGAAAGGGGGTTGAGAGTGCAAGTTCGTGCTACTTCGAAATGTGACTAGCCGGTGCGCTGCTAATGTTGTTTCTCAACCCGCGCGCGAGTCATATTACACTTATGTATATTCGTCTCGTTTCGCGTTACCGCGGGATTAAATTGCACCGGGAGTAGAAGTTTGCGTCACAGCGGAATAAGATTCTAGAATTATGCGATGTCGTTTATGGTAAGAGAAAGAAAACAAGCGTATATGCGTGTCGATGAGTTAACGAGTATATCAATTATAATATTATCAACCAAACGAGAGAAGTTTTATAACTCTCGGAACGCTATTTGGAAAAAAACAAAAACGCGATAAAACGCACGGACTGCGTAATTCTTCGAGTCGGTATAATCGCGCTCGGCGGAAAGAAATACAATGCTCGAGGCAATGGATTCTCGAAGTCGATGGAGATTCGATTGGGAGAAAAGATTTCGCGAGATTATCGCAAAGCGCCGCGGGAATGGAAACACGCTAAATGTAACACGGGGGACGTGCATTGTTGCGTAAGAAAATGTCGGAGAGAAAGTAGAAGATCGTGTCGCGGGATTCTCATGAGAAAAGAAGTGATTTCACCCGAACCGATAAAAGAGAGACAATGACACGGCGAGATAATCGGGCGCTACGGTTGAAATTAATTAACGAGAAATAAAATGGAAGACCCTCACCTCCGATGCGAGCGGCTTCTCCTTCTTGTGAAATATCTTCGTCCAGAAATTGGCGCATCTCGCGTCGAGCAGCGATCTCCGTCCGATTTGCGTCTTGAACATTTGCGATTCGATATTTCGATTGAGATATATACTTTAGAAAAAAAAAAAAAACATTGGCTGTAAGGACAGAGAGATAAGTGAACAATTACATTTGTTACGGAAGAGGAATTTAAAAATTGAAGTCTCGAATAATTTTCGCAAAAATTTAAGTAAGTAATTCAGAAAGGGGGATAATATAAAAAAAAAATATAAAAAAATTGCTCAATAAATAAGCGCTACATCAGCATCGATAGATAAAAGATTTGCTCGTTTGTTCAAAGACGGAGAAAGGAGTGGCGTTATATTTTCAGAAGAGCTTGCGTGTTCCCGAGAACACGCGCAATTGAAACGATGATGGAAGCAATGGCATCATATATATATCTAATCGCTTGTATATGTGTACCCGCAGGGCGAGAGAATTCGTCACGCATGTTCTACCTTTCTAAAATAAACGAGACGCGAGAACAAGAGCTGCACAAAATGTCAAGGTCAACGAGGTTCAATACGATCGCTCGATGGAAACGATCGTGTACCCCGCGTGGAAAACGTTGTCTGTCTCGCGCGCGTTCGCGTCAAAATCTTGAGACGAGTAATTAATGACACGCATCTCACTCGCTTGCGCACATCAAAAGCGCATACGCCGCGAGTTTGATTGCTTCATCGTCGAAGTAGTTGCGAAGTTTCACGAATAATTCGAACAACAAACTCTGACGAGAAACTCTACCGCGCTTGTGAAGTCAATTTGCGCGATATAATTCAAAGTTGTTTGTTGTTTAAATTGAATAAGGAAACAGATAGCGAGACAATACTGATACTGTATATCGTGGAATGTCACTCGCGGCGAGCGAAATTAAATTTTGTTTTGTATTGTTATATTGAAAATTTATTTATTTATTTATTTTTGATAATTTATTTATTTCTAAAGAAACAGAAGAGAGCAAAAAATGTGTGTTTTGTTTTTGTGTTGACTCTTATTTTAAAAATTCTCGCCATTTATTGCGGTACCAATGGTACTCACTTTTTTACACGCATGCGCGAGGCTCCGATGCTGGTGAAGAAATGGCTGCGCAATCGTTGGGGACCAGTAAGTGCTGTTTCTTGCACGGTATTTGCAGTTTACAACGTTGATGCAAGTTCCACAACGTATCAGCACTCAATTTAGCAAACGCGTTCTTGCGCGAAATGCGTGGTATATATACAGATATTCCGCAATTTAGAAGAGAGATATAACGTTACAGACACACGGTTTGTGTGTGCCATGACGCGTATCGACGAGACACGATACTCGCGAGCGCCACCGCCCGCTCGCTATCGATTCTGAATGGCGGTCTTTTCGAAAGGTTTTCTATTTTTGTGATGTGATTTTATTTTATTCTCATTGTTCACACACAAAAAACGTTGAAATAAAAGAGACGCAAATAATTACAGCAAAAAAGACAGCTTATTGAACTCAGTGCCACGGTTTAGTTGTTTAACAGCGATGTTTCAAATAAACTTTAATTATTATTTTAAATTTAATTATAGTATTATAGTAAGTTAAAATTATTATTTTAATTATACTTACTTTATTTTAATTTTTACTAATTATAATTATTGCTTTGTGTTTATATTTGAATTTTTTATTTTAATATTTTATATTATTGTTCCTTGAATAAAAATTCAGAATTGCGCGACTCAAAATAGTTGGTTGCGACACAGTGTTCTGCAATATAAACGTAAAGTTTACGTTGCAGAACACTATGCCGTAACTTTTCGTACGAGAGACGATTCTCGTTGAAGTATCCGCTTTAATAGAGACTATCCAATAATAGACCATTAGAGAACGCGGATGAGAATCTCCCTCCAAACACTTCCAGGTGGTAAATATATCGTTGTAGCTTCTTGCCGTGAGGTCAGACTGTCACGTAGCAGCCTTGACGAGCCATCATGTTTCCCAACAATCTTGCGGTACATCTTTTTCAAGATGTGTCCTGATGTGTTTTTTTTCTCTCGGGGTTTTTTTTACTTTGCAAGTGTAATTTACTTTCGACCTTTTTTTTTATTACACTTCACAAAATTGTATTGTTATTTTTACGACGTCGTGACTTTACCACGGACGTTTTTTACAAGCTTTTCTCTCTCTCTCTCTCTCTCTCACACACACACACATACATACAAAATATATGAACACTTCCGATATTGTTTTCTATCGGCAGCTCCTAAATGCGTTATCGATTCGGAGTGAACTAGTTGTTGGACACAATTGCACATGCGTGCAAAGGTCGGAGCGTGTCAGACCGACAATACCGATGCTCATACTTCCGACACCGATGCGCGGCATGATTTATCGCGTCTACCTATCAGCAGCGTGTTGATTTGCGCTCATGACACATTTTGCCGTCCGATTTGGAACGGCGGCGGCGCGAACATCCGTGCGACGGACGGGACCGAAGTAAAAAAAACAATAGCGTGTTCCTCGACTGGAAACGCGAACCACATTTTAACGGCACGGATGTAAATCGTTTCTCCGGAAACACTTGCGGCATGCGCAACAAAATAACACACCCGCTACGACCTAGAAAATGCACATGCGCCATTACAAATCCGATCTTGGCGATCTTTCCTTTAAATGCATTATGTCCGTTTTGCGATTCGGACGAGGTATTGTGAGTCGTTATCTCAGATGTTCTCTTTGCGCGTTCCGCTTTTGCGGGCGTGTGTACACACACACGGGCCATCCCTCGCGTATCGCTTTCATCGGCTTTACTTTGTCGAAGTGGACCGCGCGGGAATTATTCATGAAAAAAACCGTAGCAATTTTCCACGCCGATGCTTTTTTATTTCTACTGACGTTAATTACGCGTATTAATGTTCATTCTATCGATGTACCGAAGTAGTAATTCGCGGCAAAACACGCCGCGCATCGCCGTATGTTCATGGCATGTGGAGTTATTTCAATTAAAGCTACCGCGCGCGGAGAGGATAATGTATTTATTAAAACCGTCGTTTTCCTTTTGTTTTCAGGTAAGTGTCGTTCCGCGAATGTGATCGCGATGCAGAGTGAGTAACCTGTATCACCACGATCGAATTAGGTATCGGCGACGAGAGAGAGATAGAGATAGAGACAGGGAGAGAGAGAGAGTGTGTGTCTTATCACACACGCTCTGCGCGAGATTCCCGGCGCGCAGCGATCAGTCCGGAGCGCGCGGAGCCTCCGGTTACCACGCCCAGGCATCGTTTTCGCATACCGTCGCGACTTATACAGCGCCCTATAAATTACAGCCGTATCTCATTAACATCCACGTGTTTATTATATATATATATATATATATATATATATATATATATATGCGTGTGTGTATTATATATAGATATAGAATATTNGCGAGATTCCCGGCGCGCAGCGATCAGTCCGGAGCGCGCGGAGCCTCCGGTTACCACGCCCAGGCATCGTTTTCGCATACCGTCGCGACTTATACTGTGCCCTATGAATTACAGCTGTATCTCTGTGAGAGCGTGTTGTTTATTATATATATATATATATATATATATATATATATACATATAGACGCGCGTGCGCTATTAACGATCCGTACGCGAGCGACGACGACTCGTCGGGATGTTTAAGACCGATAGACGAGGTATCGATACCTTTACGCGCCTATATAGTATCGGTGTCCGATTGCGGAAGTCGATGCCGCATCAAGAATGCCGTAATTCAATCTGTTTTCGTAATAACAATTTTGTAATGGAGTCCGCGCGTTCAGCTTGTACACACACCGCAGACAATTGTGTGTAATTTATGTATATGCGAAAATTATATCCGAGCCAGGAATTCTCTACTTGACGTTTCAAGAGAGCGAAACTATTCAATATTCTCTTTGTGAAACGAAGCTGAAGGTAATCGTTAAAGATGCTTATGGTATTTTTGTTTTTATTAACGAAGCTTCCGATGGTTCTTGGCGTCTTTGAAAGAACCAAGAAAGAGAGAGAGAGAGAGAGAGAAAGAGTCCGTTTGATAAATATTAATAGATGCAATAAATTTTAATAGATATCGAGATACCAAAGAGAGAAAAAGAGAGAACGAGATCGTGCGAAACGTCGCCGTCAAATTGGATTACGTCGGTGATGCCAATCCACGCGCGCGTACGATAAAGAAAGAGGAAAATAGAGAAAGAGAGAGAGAGAGAGAGAGAGACGCAGGAAACGTCTGCCGGCGGCGGGTAGCTACGATTACGTCGCGTTTAATCGACTAGAACGTCATAAAGGCAGCAGCTTTTCTCCAGTGAGATTCATTATCAAGCGACGCGTCCGCGTATCCGTCCGCGAGCGTAGATGTAATATATTCCTCTTTGCATACCGGATGTTTCGAAGCGGCAAAAGAACAGCTAATTCTCAGGGATGAATCGTGCGGAGCGGAATTAATGTCAAACATCTTGGCCGACGGATTTCTGTGCGCGGAGACTGATGGTATTCGCTTAAGAAAAGAACACGCGAGTAAAAAGTATTGTATTTACGTACTTAAACTGTCAAACTGATACGAATGACACGGTATTATCAAGTGGCGCTTTATATTGTATTTGTCCTATATTAAAAAAAGCATTTGGACCGAGAAGTGCACGTTTGGAGTCGAATATATCGCACCTATTGTTGCCTCTTTTCCGCGTTGCCGATTGGTTAGTTGGTTGATCGAGCCGAATCGAATCGGGGTCACTGACCTCGGCCGCGCGACCGCG